CTATGCTGCCCTTCCCACTTGTGAAGAACTGACATATCAATAAGCTATGCTGCCCTTCAAAGAGGTTTCAGGAAGCAACGCCCTGCAGTGTGGAATTCCCCCTGCTAGAGGTCACAGGAAATAGGAAGTCATGGAAAGTGAGTCTTGATAAAGGGAGGATGTGAGACAAGCTCTTCTTCCTGACTTCCCCTGGTAATGGACTATTACGTCAGAAGTGTATGGGAAGCAAACCCTTTCCTCCCAAGATGCTTTTGGTGACGGTACTCTCACAGCAAGGGAAAGCTACCGAGGACATCAGCTTCACTTCTAGTCAGTGTAGCCCCGGAAGTTCTAGCCTGAACTAAGTGAAATAACATTTAAAAACGAGATGTCTGGCATGCAAATGAAACTGAGGATTCCAGCATCAGGTTCAGTCCCTAGCAGCAGCACCAAAGACCCTAACAGAGAACTCCCAGCTCCTGACAGCCAAACCTGTTACAAAAAGCTGTGCACAGACCGTAACCCCAGTGCTGGGGTGAGGGTGGGAGGCAAAAAGAGGTGGCTATCAGGAAGGAAGCACGTGCACATACGCACGCACACACACACACGTAATAATACACTCAGACATGGGGCTGGAGAGACGGCTCAGAGGTTAAGAGCATTGCCTGCTCTTCCAAAGGTCCTGAGTTCAATTCCCAGCAACCACATGGTGGCTCACAACCATCTGGTGCCCTCTTCTGGCCTGCAGGCAAAACACACAGACTGAATATTGTATACATAATAAATAAAATAAAATAAAATAAAATATTTGAAGAAAAAAAAGAAAAAGAAATACACTCAGACACATGCACCTGCAGGGGGAAGCATGTGCATACACGCACACACAGACACATGTAATAATACACTCAGACACATGCACCTGGGGGGAAGCACGTGTGCACACACAGACACACGTAATATTACACTCAGACATACATGACTGCTCAGACCAGCCAGCAGTCTGCAAAGCCAGGGATTTACACATGAAAGATAGAGCTGAACCCTGACACTGTGTTTTTATTTCTTCTGGTTTTTGAGACAGAGTCTCTTGTAGCCCTATGCTGGAGCTCGCTATGTAGACCAGACTGGCGTCGAACTCAGAGTGCAAATCTACCTCTGCCTCCTGAGTGCTGGGACTAAAGACAAGTGTCACAATGCTTGAGTATGCTGTATTCTTACAACCTAATTCAAAATGGATCAAAGACCTAGAAAAGTAAAACTATAAAGCCATAGGCAGATCTCTGTGAGTTCAAAGCCGACCTGGCCTACATAGTGAGTTCCAAGACAGCCAGGATTGTCACACAGAAGAACCCTGTCTTGACAGACAGACAGACAGACAGACAAACAGACAAATGAAATAAGACTATGAAGTCTTTAGAAGAAAACATGGAAGGAAAGATACGGTAACCTGTGTGGTAGTGACCCAGAGTGGCCATAATAAATACCAATTATCAGCTTGATTGGATCAAGAAACAACTGGGGCCCAGATATGGGCTCCATTAAGAGCAATGCTACTCTTGCAAAAGACCTGAGTTCAGTTCCCAGCACTCATGAAGGGCAGTTCACAAAGGCCTGCAATTCTGGTCCCAGAGAATCTAATGCATCTTCTGGCCTCCACAGGCACTGCAGGTAAGGTACATGGCGCGCGCGCATGAACACACAGACAGGCAAACACTAAAGACAGTCATTTTCAAAAAAGAAACATGTGGGTGTTAATGCTATTATTACTCAGTCTTAACAATAAATGGGAGAAGTCAGGCAGGCTGGCACACATCTGCAACTCGGGAGGTTCACACAGGGCTGTCAGATGCTGGTGGGAGGCAGAAACGAGTGGTTTCTGTTTAATGGGTACAGACGGTGGGAATGGTCACACAGGGACATGGT